CGGTCCAGATTACAATTATTCTGATCACAATTATAGCTCAAAATAAAATTTTACGAATTATAGTAATTTTTTATGTCATTGAGATGCCAAACAAGCATACGGCCCACCTGATGGTAAACAGTTACCGTAACCTATGAACACTTGCAATACCTGGGGCATTACGCACGCGTTGCCGACCATGAAGAAACTTTTTTACCTCTTTTTTGAAGAACCCCATGCTGTAGCGTCTGAGAAAAACTTCGACAGAGAGCTCGTTCCATAACCTTTGTTCGCGAGTGGAAATATCGGTGAAACCAATCAACTATTAGGTGATACTATGAATAATGACAGCTATTAGGTGTCTATTTTGTATATATATATATATATATATATATATATATATATATCATAGATATTTAAGTACGGAACTCTCTGTGTGTGTTCAACTCACACCTGACCGGATTTTTCACTATTCGTAACTTGCATAAACTTTGTTCCTACAGGATTCTGTCTGAAAAACAAAGTCTGCAATGTAAGTTCCTCTATTATAAACTTACGCATTATTGAAGAATCGACTTACCCTGATGTAAATTGAGATGAAAATTCAAAAGAGCACTTAGTTTTAAACCGGAATCGGGCCACTTCAAGTATTAATTGCTTTTGGTGGCTCATTGTGATTCAAGCCCGAGAGAGAGAGATGCAAATTGCGCTAAACTTTCCAACTGTTCCACTTTTCTAACGGGAATGTAGGAACTTTCATGAAAAACAACACGAGTAGAATAGAAAAAAACAGTTTGCAATAATTCTTTCTGTTTCCCTTTTACGAGAAATTCTCAGTAGGTTGATACGTGTAACAAACGTAGGATGTCCGTGGGCGAAAATTGCCTCGTATGCCCCGGACTTTAAATTCAATAAAAGATTATCTTTTATACATTGTAATCGTCTCATAATAAAACTATACTAAAATGGCAAACAAGCATTCAGCTCACGTGAACGTTTGCGATATCAGGTGCAACACAACCTTAAAGAAACCATTTTACTTATTTCTTGTTGAAGAACCTTACATTGTAGTCTCTTGAAAAAATCTTGGCACAGTACTTATTGCATAACCTGAGCGTCTATGGGAGGAAAAACCTTTAAAACTGCGCTGTCGCTACAAAATATTGGCTCAAGTATATGGGAGTGAAAACCCTCAATGACGAACAGCAGCTTTCCTATTGTTAATTTTGTCTCTTTAATTATTGTAATAACGATTTAATTAAGTAATATTGTCGTTGTATTTCTAATGGAGTGGACATTCAGTTAATAAGTTTGGTTATTGACAGAATTCGTTTATGATAATTCATTTTATAATTATATCAGACATATTCAATCACTACTGAGCAGAATAATCCAACGAGAAATGTATTTTTTTTTTTATAATTGTTTTTATAATTGTTTTTTTAAAAAATAGTCAATTTAACAATAAGTAAAATTTAACGTAGTAATTGTATTATTAACAAATTTTTTTTTCAATACTATTTAAAAATAGTTCACACTCATTTTTTTACAGCTCATATCTGTATTTAATATATAGTAGCGTAAGTGAAAATCTTTTCCACCTTATTTAAATGTCTGCGAAAATTTAACATAGAAAAAAAAATATTCACAATTATATTATTTGCAGGATGGATTACATTGTAATATTATACTTTAATATTATCTGTGCGGAATATCAATATACGGCTATAATTAAGGAAAGCGTCACTATTTTGTAGGCTTAACACCTTGTAAGCCAACCGCAAAACCAAAAGGGAACAACCCAAAAACAAAATACACAATGCAAAAATTTTGCATCTTCATATTTAAATAAGTACCTGTGAGGCCACAAAGCCACCGCCGTGTTTCAAGGAAACCACTTTTTCTCCCAGCGCTTTATCGTATTATTAAAATAAATATTTTAAATAACGAGCAGCGAGATTGAGGTTTGTAAAGAGGGCGCTTTGCGGCCGCATTCGTTTGTCGCGCGCACAGAAATTGTTTTTGTTTCATACGGAATTAAATATCCACATGGTTTTTGTTATTTTATTTTTCAAATTTAATTTATTGCGATGCTTCAAACATATATCGTAATAAATTGTACCGCGTCTAAAATCGCTTTTATTAAAAAAAATAATTTTAACAAACTAAAGTTGATATTATTATATAACTAACACAATTTCCCTCCACATAACTGATATGTATGTACATTAATACTGGCATTCTTCGAATAACAACACTAACAACTAATTATAAATAGTCTCCCAAAGCACCACATCGAGGCAGCATACCCAAGATATTAGCAGGTATTACCTCTTTGGATTGCTAAACTTATCTTTTGCGCAAAGTAGCTACCAGCTCTCGCATCGCGCCTCATCGTTGTTACTGGTGATCCGAGTTACGTATTCATTTATCCATTCACATTTATGTTGTAAACTCAACTTGTATGTGAAGAAAGCAACAGCTGTGTTCCTCGCTCGTTCTTCTAAACTGAAATTTTATTCTGAAATGTGCGGTAGATTCATACGAGTAAATAAATTACTATTAAAAAATGCTTATAACTAAGACCACTTGAATAAAAAATATTTAAATTTTTTTATAAAATCATGTACCCTGACTGACTATCGACGCATAGTCAAAACTATATTTAAAAAGCTGTTTGGAAAACATCTACTAAGAAAGGATTTTTAGAATTTAAAATGGAATCACGACATTCCACGTGCTAAGCCGAGGGTAACAGCTGGTACACAATAAACTTGCATCTAATTTCCGATTATATTCTCTTGTTTTCCTACGAATAATAGATATTACAGATAATTCCCATACAACAGCGATGGCGGGCTTATTATATATGTGATAAACAATAACTGTGATCGTCACGCACATAAAGTGATATTTTAGTAGGTGTACTATGACATAACCGCTCGTTTTCACCACACTATACTTATGTGTTTTGCTGCTGAGACTATGCGACATTGGATTAGAATGGATAGTCTTTTGTTTTATGATAATTAAATCGGCAAATAAGTTGACTGCCCACCTGATAGAAAATAGCATCCGTCATCTATAAACACGTACATTATATTGGCATCACAGAATACACTAATATACCTAGGGGTACATTAGTGTATTCTGTGATGTACTAGGGTACATGTACAACGTATCTGATGCCATTCCACAGAACTACGGTGTTACACTTCAGTATTAGTTATATAAACTGGAAGAAATCTCTTTTAGAGATAAGTTTACCATTGCTCACAAAGTCTCTGATAATAATGTTTACTGTATCTTTGAGTACAATAGGGATTATTTATGATTATAAATGTAAAAGTAAATTGGTTTATTTGTTCCATTTAACGCCTTAAATAATAATCACTATGAAATTTGGCATACACGTACCATATAAAAAGAAGAAAAGTATAAACGGACGCAAGTTAAAACTAATATATAATAAAATTAACGTCTATCTGTATGTCCATATTATGCCTATCGTCGATTCGTCATAACCCTCCCAAGCCGCACCCTCCCTATTCTCTTATCGTCTTATTAAAATAAATATTCTGAGGATCCGTAATATTTTGGCTCGCTCCGAACTCTTTGGGAACTGTGAATCCACGAATTTTCTTGAATATAATACCTAGTTGCAAATAAAAAAATAAAAGCAAATTTCTATTAGCTTTAAAATTTTTCGTTATAAGTAACTGAATATAATTTGACTTCAATTAATTATCTAATATATAAAAAAAATATTTAATATAAATTAATCGATTCATAATTTATTTTATTTTATAAAACTTAGAATAGCAATTAAAGTTAACAACTTACTTCATAAAAAATAATAACCATTGATTAAAGTCACAATCATCACTTCATCCATTATCTGTCCACTGCTGCACATAGGCCTCTGACATACTTGTAGACTGCCAAAGGAACGGTCCTGAGCCACCTGCATCTCAATCACCTTTCTTCCCCATCAGTTGTCAGTTCTTCGAGCAATGTGACCTGCCCATCGCCACTTCAGATTGCTTATCATTTATTCCTTGATTAAAAACATGAACAACTCTAATGCTCTCACCATGGCTATATTTTAACAATAGGCGTATTTAATAGAAAAGGGAGAGGATAATAAATGCTAAAATTTTTTTCATTATGTGCACCAGTAAATTTGTAAAGTCCTTTGTTATATTAAAATATTATTCTCATTGCTATAAATATACATACCAAGTGCCTAATGTATTAGACACTCACATCATCCACAGAATTTAAATTGCTGGCGAGAATAATATCAGCAGGCGCTGGTAATTTAATATTAGTCAGCTAATAGCTAATTCTATGGACATTTAAATACTTTTATATGTATTATAAAATAAAATAATCAATAATAAATTGTTCATAATATAGTTTCTTATTATTAGTAATCGTGAATAGAAATCATTTTATTATTATAAATAGAACATTTAAAATCTCCATAATATAGTTGATCAATCATTAATCTGTCAATAGAATAATTAATTATTACATAAAATTATACACGGCAATAAATGAAATATAATAATTATTAATTCACACTGCAATTGTTTGTTGAAACTAAATAGTGATCCATAATTTGACATTATTTAACATCGGGGGATGTAGCTCAGATGGTAGAGCGCTCGCTTAGCATGCGAGAAGTACGGGGATCGATACCCTGCGCCTCCAATCCTTTTTTCACATTTTGCTTTAACTAGATATTCAATTTAAAATGTGTATTTCAATAAGTAATCCATGTTAGTCTCTATTCATAATAATTTTCCATTCGTGAATAAATATTAATAACTTCTGTCCCGTTTTTTACTTTTAATTAAATTCAAAACTTTAAGCCATATTCGTAACCAACCAGTAACAAAAAGAATCCATTATTTCAGTATGAATACATGAATATGTAAAAGCACAAGGCAGGGTTTTCGTGCATAGGTAAGTTTCACGTAATAAAATATTTTTATATTTAAATAAAAGACAAAAAATAATCCTAATATCAAATAGTTTTATTTATAACATCCAGTAATTATTTAATATACTAACGGTAAATATTTACATTACAAAATAAAAATTGTTTAATCACAATTTAATCTATTAGGTACATAATTAAGTAAATGCTTAAACCTATATAGATTGTTATCGATAATTCTGTTTATTTTGGATTTATATTAAAACGCTGGTATTCCAGTAATAGCTCTGCCTAAAATCAATGCGTGAATATCATGAGTGCCTTCATATGTGTTGACCGCCTCTAAATTCATAACGTGCCTTATAACATGGTATTCATCTGACACACCATTACCACCAAGCATGTCTCTAGCCATCCTCGCTATTTCTAAGGCTTTTCCGCAATTATTTCTTTTAATTATTGAAGTCATTTCAGGTGCCGCTTCACCTTGATCTATCAGACGTCCCACTCTTAAGCAAGCCTGGTATCCCACGTTAATCTCTATCAGCATGTCTGCTAACTTCTTCTGTATTAGCTGTTTCGATGCGAGCGGCACTCCGAATTGTTTCCTATCTAATGTGTACTGTCGGGCAATGCGCAAACACGATTCGGCCGAACCGAGAGCGCCCCAAGCGATCCCATACCGCGCGTTATTGAGACATCCAAACGGCCCCTTCAGACCTATCGCGTCGGGCAATAAACTATCCTCCGGTACAACCACTTCGTCGAGCAATATCATGCCCGTTTCCGATGCGCGCAACGAAAATTTTCCATTGATTTTGGGCGTAGCCAAACCTTTTTTGACTTGCGAACGTTCGACAATAAAACCTCTTATTTTATCTTCCTCGTTCCTTGCCCATACTATTAATATATCTGCAATGGGTGCATTTGTAATCCAGATTTTAGAGCCTGATAATGTGTAAGTTTTTGATTTCGAATCATATTTAGCTTTAGTTATTAATCCCCCTGCGTCACTGCCGAAGTTCGGTTCAGTTAGTCCAAAACAACCAATTAATTCGCCTTTAGCCATTCTCGGCAAATATTTCTGTTTTTGCTCCTCACTGCCGAAAAGATATATCGCACCCATGGCTAAACTGCTCTGTACACTCAGAGCAGATCGGTACGCAGAGTCAATACTGTCTACCTCTCTTGCGAGCAATCCATAGGTGACATAGGATACACCGGCGCATCCATAACCTTTGAAAGTACAACCAAGTACACCTAACTCTCCCATTTCCCTAAAAATTTTTTTATCAAATACTTCATTTCGATTTGCTTCGATTATCCTAGGAAGTAGTTTCTCTTGGCAATAAACTCTAAAGGTGTCCCGAATGGCCTTTTCATCGTCGTGTAATTGTCCATCTAAATTCAATGGGTCTTCCCAATTGAAAGTTACCTTAGCATTTCTTGAAATTGTGGTCGACAGAGCTCGTATATTATTATTTCGGCTTAGAACCGAAAACAAATATTTACCGGTTTGCACCACAGCCATTATATTTAAAACTATCTCTTTGTTTACAATATCAAACAATATACAACACCAGTAATAGCTATAACTTCTTGAACACAGTCTATTAAACTTCCTTGGAATTAAATTACAGTTGTAACAAATATAAAAACATCAGGATATCCAATAATGAGAATACAATTTTTGAGATTACACTGTGAGAGTATTAAGTACCTATCTACTAACCTAATGACAGTCAACTGAGCTATATTAATCGTACGTACTCTGTTACTAACTTCACTCCACTCTCTAGCAACGTGTTATCACATATATGTATTCTTAGATGCATTTATCGTCCTACTCGTTTCTACACTAACATTAATTGTTTTGTAACGTTGACTCTTATCACAAGGTAATAAGAATTAAAATAGATTGCGATACATTCTGCTTTGTAAATAAGATATAAGTATTATCAATATAAAGCAAGTAAATATGACATTTCTGACGCTATATATTACAATTAATGATAACTATTATATTGTAAAGTAACTTGATGAAAGAAAACTATTCTGTGTGTTCACAGTAAATAATGATTGATAAGACTACTGTCATACTTGTTATCGTATCGTAAACAATAATTACATTATCATAGGCTTGTAAATACATTTTCGTTAAAAATTAAATACTCTAGATAAATTATTTTTTACATTCCTAATTTATATATATAATTAATGATTCGAATTCCATTTAAAATAATAATATCGCTGTCAATTTAACAAATACCTGTCAGTCATTTACCGAACATGATACGATGTATCAAACGTAGGTATAATTAAGGTATTTTTATCTCTAAGTAACCTCTTAATTAATGTATCATTAACTAATAACTGCTTAAAAGTACTTAAACCTTCAAAAGAATTACATATACCGAAAAATAGGCAGTATTCTATTTATTGAATACACTATAATAGTAATAGACATAAATCAAAGATCATCTAACCTATCTATCATATCTACATAAATTAACTTTTTTATGCAACTTAGTATAGCAAACAAGCTGACGGTCTACCTGATGGAAAGTAGTAACCGTCGCCTATAGACACGAGGACTACCATGGACATAACAGAGTATAACTGTTTCGCCCCTGATACCTCACATGCGTTGCCATTCTTGAAGACTCAAGTGTTATTTCTTCTGTACCCTGTAAATTCACTGTCATATCCCACCCTTCAAACCGAAACAAAACCATGCAAACACATCTGCTTCACGGTAGAAACACGAATGGGACAGATGTACCCAAGCAAACAACTTTTATACAAAGTCTGCCTCTGGTTTATCTAGAATGCACTATATATACACCAAAGAATATAAGAAATAATTTTCTCTCTCCAATTTTGTATGCGGGTACGTTTACGTACATTCGATAATGTCTAATAAAACGATACTATTAATGCTCAAGTAAATCTTATTTTCCTTTCAATAAACTACAGATTACGCCACAAATATTATTGTATAACATTTTGAGATCTGTATATACATCTATCAACCTCAGCTAATAGTTCAGTATAGGGGAAAAGGGATTGTTAGTAATGGGTCTAATAATTGCTAGCAATATACCCTCACAGGTCGACCTCCACGCGGTTACTCCTGGAAACCATCATGTTTAATTCTTGACGAATTTATCTTGATGTGCCTCGTCGGTGTAAACCGATAGCGCGCACGGGGTTACCATTTCATTTTCACCCATTAAAAAAAAATCAGTATAGGTAGGTATGAACATACTTTCTCCACACCAACAAAAAATCAACGAAATCGAGCGTGCATGAAAATCTTAAATATAAACGAGTTTATATTAAAAAGTATGATCTGTGAATTTCTTATATATTATATGTATGTATAAAAATTTCAGTATGTTACGATAATTACGTCACATCTTTCGCACCACCGCTGCCCTTCATACGCTTACTGTTTTACCTAATAGTTAGCTGGTAAAGAATGCCATTTGTACAAAGTTTTATTAATGAATACATAAAAACAACTAAAGAAAAGACCACAGATAAAGCTATTTATGAAATGAGCTTAAATATTTTAATTTTATAGCACTGACCCCCGGCAAAAATGTATAGAAGTTTTACTCGTAGTAAAAATTTAACCAAACTTTTGTAGGACGGGCATAGTTAAAATAGCTTACGTGCTGCGGTAGTAGTTATTACATACTTACTCTCAAAGAGTAGAGGAACTTAGCCCAAGTTTAATATTTGCTAAGCGGGTACATAACTCAGTACAACGACAATTCAAGTTATGCAGATTATGAAATGAAGCCAGATATTAAAATAAATATATACATACATACTATATACTATTAGATTGGGCTTCAATATTTAATAATATCAAGTAAATTTTAATAATGAACTCTTCTCGTATACTCATAACGTATGTTCTGATAATCCAAAATACATCTAAATAAATATATCTACACGACTAAACAATTTTCAAAATCTATCTTAGGAACGTGCTCTAATTACAGTCCCATTAATTATCGAATTAAATGAATAAATCATTACTGTTTTTATGACTGAAAACTGAATTTTACGATAATTTTATAAACTTCTATATGAATTGCAGTTCGTATCGTACTGTATTCATTCGATAAATAATATAAATATAAGTATCGTACTGTATTCATGCTATAAATAATAACAAATAAACATTTCAAATTCTAAAAAAAAAAGCAGTCACTTCAATAGAATTTAAAGTTAACTTTTAAATTTAGTTGAAAATTGACGAAAATATTGCATAACATTATAAATCATGTACATTATTAATCTACCGAAAAATAATACGTCAAATTGTAAGCAGTATGCGATGGTTCACAATTTTTCGACAGTTTACAATCTCGCGAGATAGATTGTAATCTATCTCGGTATTTACAATCTTACGGTGACATATATATATATATATAATTAACAAAAACAAAATAACAAAACAATTATATATTATATATATAATTTTTTGTTATTATTTTATTTTTATATATATATATATATATATATATATATATATATATATATATATATATATATATAATTGTTTATGTATCTAAAGTTTATATATTAGTTAATAAGTTTTGTAACTAGAATAAAGACTTCACGTATATATAACATATATAAAATTGAAACACGTATTTTTGGATTTAATAAATTTTATTAATATTATTATTATATTATAAGAATTGTGTTAATTTGTCATTAGTGATTTTATCACATGATGTGAGATTTTTTATATTTAAAACTTAAATGTAAAATTAAGTTTATTTGTTACTTTTCGACGGTTTAAGTACTAAATCAATCCTCATGATCTTAGTATTTCCGATGGACAAAAGCAGACTTTTTACCACAGTCAATCTAAATATCACGCGAACGAAGTGGCACGTACAAATCGATATCTGTTATCAATATTATACCTTCTTCTATTATACTTCCGTATATCCTGGAAAGAGATTTAAAATTTTAACTGAGTAAAAACATTACACATCAACGTTTTTGTTTAATTCCGCTACCATTTGTATGTATTCGAAATTATTATTATTATTTTTTATACAACTTAGAATGGCAAACAAGCTGACGGCCCACCTGATGGAAAGTGGTAACCGTCGCCTATAGACATGAGCAGTACCATGGACATAACAGAGTATACTGTTTCGCCCATGATACCCTCCATGCGTTGCCATTCCTGAGGACTCAGGTGTTATTCCTCTGTACCCAGTAAATTCACGCCATATCCCACCCTTCAAACCGAAACACAGCCATGCAAACACAACTGCTTCACGGTTGAAACACGAATGGGACAGAGGTACTACAAACGACTTTTGTACAAAGTCTACTATTATTACTAGAAGAAATACTACAACATTCCATATTAGTTATCAATCTCCATTATACACACACATGTTGCGACACGCGTTTCATCTCTAAACGTGGCATCTTCAGGCAATTCAATAAATCGCCGCTCGAAGCCTAGGATTGAACCGTTCGGCCCTCAGAAGCGTATATCTTATAATACTCTCTTCTTATCATCTATCAAATCATTAGCTTCATGCTAGCTGACAGCTATATAAGAAAAATAAACTGAATTACATTTTTTTGTATTTGCTTGTCATATTTTTCCGTTTTATTCTGCAAAGCGCCTACAGAAATCTCACGGACATAGAATTTTACCTTCGTTAAAATTTTATACAAAGATCAGAGAAAAGCTTTGAAAAGATAAAAAAATATCTCCAAGCACTTTGAATAAAGTAAATTATAAAGTAAGACATCTAAGACATAATTTATCACCTTTTAGGGTAATGGATAAAAAATATATATATTTTTAATTTCATATGTGTGGGCAACATTAAAGATCTAACTAACCATATATATATATATATATATATATATATATATATATATATATATATATATATATATATATATATATATATATATATATATATATATATATATATATATATGATGTGAAAAATTGAAACTTTGAAAATGGAAAGTAACGGCCACGGCAATTAAATCATATTTTATACATTACAGCCTACGTTCCTCGCTAATGATATAGCTTTCTATAGGTGAAAGAATTTTTAAAATCGAGAGTTTATTTACTACTAACAAATAATCGAATATTCTTTACAATATTCTTATACAAATGAAATAATGAGTAAAGTATTATACAGAAAATGTGTATCGCCAGCAAATAATCAACCGATTTCAAAAATAAGGAGGTTCTCAGTTCGTTTATATTTTTTTCTATTTGTTACCTTATAATTAAGAATTTTCCAAAGCGTTGTGGAAAATTCTTTATTTTTTATTTGAAAGAATATATTTACAGATTGGTTCCATAAAAATTTTAAGAAATTCGGTTTTGAAGTTTAGTTTTTAAATCAAAATAAGTGTTTTGCTACAATTGAAGTCGGTTTATTTACTTGAATATGTAATACAATACACTGTCCTTCTCTAATCAAAATTTATTTTTGTAGCGTTGAAACTGAAAATAATGCAAAAAAGAACTATGAAATATGAACGCAGCGGGTGAGTGTTTCATAAATGCACAGTATGTCCACTTATTTATGTCCTAGGGAAAAATTCACTGCGTCGTGATTGCGAATAACTATTTTGTGCAACGATTTTCTGTTCTCTCTCTCTGTTCAAACATACTCATGTAATGTCAAGTTTACAATATAATTATGTATAATTATTATGCATTATTGATAATGTATAGCTCTGAATATATCATATCATAC